GAGAGCGTTCAGTGCACAGGACGGACATTAGCGAACCGAGCGACAGAAAGAGAGAGATGGCTTACTAAAAAGAATTCTTAAGGCAATAAGGCAAGAAGTAGGACCCGTGTAAATATCGGATCAGCTTTCCAGCGCTGGAGAGAACTCAAGGAGCGGAGGCCTGCGATCGGACGCCGAGGTTGCTTTGTTTCTTCTCGATAGGTGAGTAACACCGTGTCTGCACCGCGACAGCTAAAGTCTGTCTAGTACACTGGACGCGACAAAGCTACCGTTGAAAATCATTTGAAATTTGTGTCAATACGTCATGAATAGAACGCAGCAGCAGTTTTCTGTCGGGGATTTGTCGTGTCGTGCCGCACCGCATCCAGTGTAGACCATAGATATGTATATATATCTATGGTGTAGACAGCATCACTGATTATAATGAGTTCTATAGTATTTTGTCGTGCTGCGCCACTCGCGTCTGGTGTAGACACGATGTAACATTGGTTTTGCTTTGTTTCACTGAACTAATCGTTGCCTGGGTTGCGTACGTATATGTGGGGCGGAGCTATCAAAATAGGGGCAAGATCCTTTTTGGGTAGGGGCGTGTTTGTTTTGATGATTTCAAATGTCAACATTGGCTACCAGAAATCGCTTACCCCACCTTTAATTTTGTAGGCATTTCTGAGTTAAACAGAATATTTGGTGAGAAAAAAAATTATATGATAGGACTATTCATCCTATTGGGATCTGATTGGATCATGCAAAAATGTGATTTTATTGGCTAATATTAATTTTCTTCACTTGTTCAGCCTTGAAACAAGTGTTTTTAATAAAGAATATAAAAACAAAGATTTTTAGATTTACATTACCATCAGTTGTGTTTTTTTTATCATTTACTTTTAATCATCACTAAATTGATCAAAAGTGACAGTAAAGTGACTTTTATATAGTTATCTTCTTCAAATAAATCCTAATTTATTTAGAACTTTTTACTTAAAGTCCTAAAATCCTGAAAAAAGATCTTTCCACAAAATATTAGACAGCACAACTTTTTTCCACATTGATTAAAAAAAGATAAAATCCTGAGCGGCAAATCATCGTATTCGAATGATAACTTAAGGATCATGCTACACTGAAGACTGGAATAATGATGGTGAAAATTCAGCTTTACCATCACAGGAATAAATTACATTTTAAAATATATTCAAATAGAAAAGTCATTTTAAATTGCAATAATATTTCAGTTATTTTGTAGGCATTTCTGAGTTAAACAGAATATTTGGTGAGAAAAAAAATTATATGATAGGACTATTCATCCTATTGGGATCTGATTGGATCATGCAAAAATGTGATTTTATTGGCTAATATTAATTTTCTTCACTTGTTCAGCCTTGAAACAAGTGTTTTTAATAAAGAATATAAAAACAAAGATTTTTAGATTTACATTACCATCAGTTGTGTTTTTTTTATCATTTACTTTTAATCATCACTAAATTGATCAAAAGTGACAGTAAAGTGACTTTTATATAGTTATCTTCTTCAAATAAATCCTAATTTATTTAGAACTTTTTACTTAAAGTCCTAAAATCCTGAAAAAAGATCTTTCCACAAAATATTAGACAGCACAACTTTTTTCCACATTGATTAAAAAAAGATAAAATCCTGAGCGGCAAATCATCGTATTCGAATGATAACTTAAGGATCATGCTACACTGAAGACTGGAATAATGATGGTGAAAATTCAGCTTTACCATCACAGGAATAAATTACATTTTAAAATATATTCAAATAGAAAAGTCATTTTAAATTGCAATAATATTTCAGTTTTTCTGTATTTTTGATCAAATAAATGCAGCCTTTGGTGAGCATGAAAGACTTCTGTCAACAGTGTTAAAAAATATTACTGACCACAAATTTTGAACGATAGTGTGATTGCACCAATGAATCATTTACAAATAACCCCGGACCTTTTATTATGAAACTAAATAAGCCTTATGATTTCACATTGACTTTAAGCAGCAAATCAGTATGGCCCCCAATAGAGAGAGTCCCCAAAGCGTTATGTACATTTACATGGACACACCCTTTATTTCCTATCTAGGTCAACACTCCATCGCAAGTGTCAATTTACAGTCAAAATAAAGTATCGATAGAAATGATATATCCATTAGAGACAGACATTTAAAGCAGAGAGTAAAAGAGATGCCCCGGAGAGGTAGGGACAGCTGACATCCACACATTGTTTGCTAATCTTTAAATTAGCCATGATTAGAGTTGACGGCATCAGTGCATTGCCATTCTCAAACAGAACTCAACAGCACACAATCCATATGGTCAAACCGCGTGAGGTCAAATCTACAGGATGCATCAGTCATCTGCTGCTTCTTAATTCCTCCGCAAAACAAGTCCTTTTACAGAGCGACTGAGCTCTGCTGTATATTTAAGGGTCTCTGCACATCCTTGGCCTTTCATCGACGACATGTCCTTGCTCTGAAGATGCAGTTGGGGTCCTTCAACATCGTTCTTACGCAACAGCCTCGCCGCTCTTCACGAGGAATTTATGTAATCTTAGTCTGAAAGGTACGCGAACAGTCTCTGGCGGTTTAACTGGAAAGCAAGTGAAATGTTCTCCTAGCTAATGTATGTTGAGATCAAAACTTAAACAGTTTTTTATGTCAAGGTTTGAAAATGTTTTGTGTCCCCAGCTGTGAGACGATGGCGTCTGCTGGGACTCGATGACCTGCATGTAACTGTAGAGACGCTTGACTGACTGCAACCATGGCGCACGGATTCCATTTCCTGTTTGAGGGTGACGGGGAGAGGGGCAGCTGATATCTTTAGCTCTGAAATGAGAGGATGGACACAAATGTGTGGGGGCTGATGGATGATTCCTGTTTGGCGTTGCTCCTGTGAATGTCAGCAAACCTGCGCACACACAAAGAGAAAACCATCGGCGGGGACATTAGGGAAATGCATTTTGTGGCTGATCAAAGGCAAGAAAAAACAACCTGCATTACCTTTTCCTGCCTCATCTTTTCATGTTTGTTGATCTTGTGGCTCTTTTGTTTGTGTTTACTTATTGAATGATGATTTTTACATGACTGCATTCTGAAGAGCGGCTGCTTTGAAAGGCACATGCTTTTGAAAAATGTAAATGGCAGAGGGTGAATGCCTGTGTTCTTTAGCACGAAAGCCTTAGTAAAATGATTATTTTGTTACACACGGGCCTTTCAACGTGGCTGCGTTCATCTTGCGGCACCATTATTTTTTTTTAAAGGGAAAATTATGCCACCCCTTGTCCGTCTGAGTGTTAATTCGCATTTAGAGAATTAAAATTGAATATGTTAATATACATTGCCTGTGCACTAATCAGCATGGTTTCCTCTGAGCTGGTGTCCTGCTAAGATATTCAGTTATTTTAAATACGATCATGCTTTAGTACAGTTCTCTGCTCTGTTTTAATCAAAGTGCATATGAATATTTCTTTTGTGCTTTGTTGCTGTAGTAGTTGTGATATTTTGCATATAAAATCTCACACTGTTCAGGGTTCCCACACTTTTTGACCAACGAGTTGATTCTTAATGATTCACTGAGGAATCTGTGAATGGTTAAGCCAGTTCAGTGAAAATTACTAATTAAATAAAAAAATTAATTAAATTAATTACAAACACTGTAAAAAAAAAAATCCACCTATTTCAATTAAAAAGTTCAGTTTAACATTTTTAAGCATGGCTGTACATTTCAAATTAAATTATACTAAACCGACTTTAAAAAATCAAGTTGAATGTCATATAACTTAATGAAGTTAAAATTGTTCAATTAATTTGATGAGTTAAAGTAATGGCTGCCAAGACTTATTTTTAAAGTGAACTTGAATTTGAGACTTGGACTCGAGCAGGGGCAGTTCTAGAGGGGGCCAGTGCCCCCCTGCCAACAAGCTTGGCCCTCCCTTTATGATTTCACATTGACTTTAAGCAGCAAATCAGTATGGCCCCCAATAGAGAGAGTCCCCAAAGCGTTATGTACATTTACATGGACACACCCTTTATTTCCTATCTAGGTCAACACCCCATCGCAAGTGTCAATTTACAGTCAAAATAAAGTATCGATAGAAATGATATATCCATTAGAGACAGACATTTAAAGCAGAGAGTAAAAGAGATGCCCCGGAGAGGTAGGGACAGCTGACATCCACACATTGTTTGCTAATCTTTAAATTAGCCATGATTAGAGTTGACGGCATCAGTGCATTGCCATTCTCAAACAGAACTCAACAGCACACAATCCATATGGTCAAACCGCGTGAGGTCAAATCTACAGGATGCATCAGTCATCTGCTGCTTCTTAATTCCTCCGCAAAACAAGTCCTTTTACAGAGCGACTGAGCTCTGCTGTATATTTAAGGGTCTCTGCACATCCTTGGCCTTTCATCGACGACATGTCCTTGCTCTGAAGATGCAGTTGGGGTCCTTCAACATCGTTCTTACGCAACAGCCTCGCCGCTCTTCACGAGGAATTTATGTAATCTTAGTCTGAAAGGTACGCGAACAGTCTCTGGCGGTTTAACTGGAAAGCAAGTGAAATGTTCTCCTAGCTAATGTATGTTGAGATCAAAACTTAAACAGTTTTTTATGTCAAGGTTTGAAAATGTTTTGTGTCCCCAGCTGTGAGACGATGGCGTCTGCTGGGACTCGATGACCTGCATGTAACTGTAGAGACGCTTGACTGACTGCAACCATGGCGCACGGATTCCATTTCCTGTTTGAGGGTGACGGGGAGAGGGGCAGCTGATATCTTTAGCTCTGAAATGAGAGGATGGACACAAATGTGTGGGGGCTGATGGATGATTCCTGTTTGGCGTTGCTCCTGTGAATGTCAGCAAACCTGCGCACACACAAAGAGAAAACCATCGGCGGGGACATTAGGGAAATGCATTTTGTGGCTGATCAAAGGCAAGAAAAAACAACCTGCATTACCTTTTCCTGCCTCATCTTTTCATGTTTGTTGATCTTGTGGCTCTTTTGTTTGTGTTTACTTATTGAATGATGATTTTTACATGACTGCATTCTGAAGAGCGGCTGCTTTGAAAGGCATATTCTTTTGAAAAATGTAAACGGCAGAGGGTGAATGCCTGTGTTCTTTAGCACGAAAGCCTTAGTAAAATGATTATTTTGTTACACACGGGCCTTTCAACGTGGCTGCGTTCATCTTGCGGCACCATTATTTTTTTTTAAAGGGAAAATTATGCCACCCCTTGTCCGTCTGAGTGTTAATTCGCATTTAGAGAATTAAAATTGAATATGTTAATATACATTGCCTGTGCACTAATCAGCATGGTTTCCTCTGAGCTGGTGTCCTGCTAAGATATTCAGTTATTTTAAATACGATCATGCTTTAGTACAGTTCTGTGCTCTGTTTTAATCAAAGTGCATATGAATATTTCTTTTGTGCTTTGTTGCTGTAGTAGTTGTGATATTTTGCATATAAAATCTCACACTGTTCAGGGTTCCCACACTTTTTGACCAACGAGTTGATTCTTAATGATTCACTGAGGAATCTGTGAATGGTTAAGCCAGTTCAGTGAAAATTACTAATTAAATAAAAAAATTAATTAAATTAATTACAAACACTGTAAAAAAAAAATCCACCTATTTCAATTAAAAAGTTCAGTTTAACATTTTTAAGCATGGCTGTACATTTCAAATTAAATTATACTAAACCGACTTTAAAAAATCAAGTTGAATGTCATATAACTTAATTAATGAAGTTAAAATTGTTCAATTAATTTGATGAGTTAAAGTAATGGCTGCCAAGACTTATTTTTAAAGTCAACTTGAATTTGAGACTTGGACTCGAGCAGG